AGTGACTTAACCACTTATGAACCTCTGAAAAGAGATCCAGGAAGTGGTTACAAGAAGAAGTTAATAGATTGCCTGAAAATTTTGGAGCAGGACAAGGCTATTGACCGTATTCTGTACCACAGACTGTACCCAGGGGAGGCCACACCTAGTCTGTATGGTTTACCTAAAATCCACAACAAGGTGTACCTTTAAGACCAATTGTTAGCATGATTAACTCGGTCACTTACAATGTTTCCAAATATCTGGCGTCTGTACTCATCCCTTTAGTTGGCAGCTCAGAACACCACATACAGAACACCATGGACTTTGTGGATAAGGTGAGGGATGTCATCATGGAGACTGATGAAACAATGGTCTCTTTTGATGTCACATCACTCTTTACGTGCATTCCCGTTGATGATGCAGTAGAGGTGGTCAGTTTAAGATTAAAATCAGACACCACTCTGAGCAGCAGGACCACGCTTTCCACAGAACAACTGTGTCAACTCTTGAAACTGTGCCTGGAGTCAACCTACTTCACATATGGGGAGCAATATTATAGGCAGAAACATGGGTGTGCTATGGGGTCTCCAGTTTCTCCTATTGTTGCCAACCTGTACATGGAGGAGGTAGAAAAGAGAGCCTTGACGTCCTTTTCAGGGACACCACCAAGTCATTGGTTCAGGTATGTTGACGACACCTGGGTTAAAATTAAATCTCAGGAAGTCCAACATTTTACTGACCACATCAACTCTGTGGATAAATACTTCAAGTTCACACGAGAAGATGTAAAAAATGGCAGGTTGGCTTTCTTGGATTGTGAGGTCTCAGTTTCTGAGAGAGGACATTTGCAAACCGAGGTGTACCGCAAACCCACCCACACAGACCAGTATTTGCAGTTTCACTCCCATCACCCTTTGGAGCACAAGTTAGGAGTCATCAGGACTCTGTACCACAGAGCAGACAGTGTCCCCACTAACTCAGGAGCCAGGCAGAAGGAGAAATCCTACACAAGACAGGCTCTAGAGCAATGTGGATATCCTAACTGGGCCTTCCTGAAAGCAGAAACCCAAACAGGACTCCAGTCAGCCATCAGGTGAAAAGGAGGAACCCAGACCCAGACCAGTGGTCATTCCATATGTTGAGGGAGTATCAGAGAAACTGAGACGTTTATTTTCTAAACATAACGTCCCAGTGGCTTTTAAACCCCAAAATACATTAAAGACTGGTTCATCCCAAAGATCCAGTCCTTCGGCACAAACAGAGCAATGTTGTGTATGTTGTTCAGTGTCAGGAGGGTGATCAGTCTAACATCGGGGAAACTAAACAGCCACTGGCCAAAAGGATGGCCCATCACAGAAGATCAACATCATTGGGCCAGGATTCTGCGGTCTACACTCATCTCCAGGTCAGAGGTCACTCTTTAAGGGATGAAGATGTTCTCATCCTGGACAGAGAGGAACGATGGTTTGAGAGAGGAGTAAAGGAGGCCATCTTTGTGAAAAGAAATTGTCCATCATTAAACAGGGGTGGAGCCTCCGTGTTCAACTGTCCCCCTCTTACAATGCTGTGATTGCTAGTATCACTCAGCCCTCTGTGAATAGTAAACAGCCATCAGGTGCTAATGAACCATTGTTAGGCTGATGGTCCTTCTTGAGCATGTGAGCAGTGTAGTGAACTAAGCCTCAGGTCAAAACCTGACCCTGAGGACCTTCATGGGACAGAAACTGTTATTTCATTGATTTGAGTCCAGAAATACAAATTAAGCTCATCCAGAGACTTTCTAAGTGTGTCCTGCACTAATCAATTGAAAGAACACTCTCTTTTTTATTATCATTACTATTTTACAATATCTTGATAATCAAAGTGTGTTTAGTTCAAACCATTTTAAATGTTGAAGTGAACCACTCATTTTAAATCAACTGTGAAACAGTATTAATGATTTTTTAATCCTCATTCAAAGTAGAAATCAAGTTAATGTCTGTTACAGAGTAATTATGCATTTTTTGATCTTCTGTCTGAAATGAGAAGGAGTGATGTCGGTCAAAAGTCGGAGACAGTCGCAAAGAAGTTATTGGAACGAACTGTCATGTTTTTAAACCTAGCAGACGGTAAACAAGAGAAGCTGGCACCTGTGAGTCTCTCATTTCGCCATAACATTTCTCTGTCTGTTCTTAAAACATCTCACTGTTTTTCTGACTTGTAGTAACCTCTTACGTCACTAAAACCACACCCCTGTTGGTTCTTTCAACCAATCAGGATTTCCCAAAAAAGGGACCGGAAGCTAACTCTTTAAAAAGTCGACACTTCCTAGTTCCAGTCAGTCAAAAGTTCCGAGGAAGAACAGAAGTTCTGGGGAAGAACAGAAGTTCTGGGAGCAGAACCGAACGAAAGTTCTGAAGTGCTGGAGTTAGTTGGGAGTTCTTCCGAGTCTCGTGGGGATTATGGAATCTTCCACATCTGAGTGGAACTCTGACGGGCTCACAGCTCATGTGAGTCCACCCGGGAGGTGAGCGTACTGTTGAACGAAGTACCGTCACTACTCCGGATGTTTCTCTGCTATCCTACGGAGACGCTGAAATGGTAACGTTGAAAGATAACTCTACACCGAAGCTGAGATATCTTCTGCAAGGTAAAGAGTCGATTTCCACTACCGAAGTGTACAGAGGTAGAGCTGGGTTCGAATGGAGGGTGTCGTTCTTCGTCAACACATTTTCCCTCACACATCTTTTCTCTCCATTTAAACTCCTTCATTTCCCATCTTTAAAACTCTTCTATCTTGCCAGTAATTAATCCAGATATTTTCAGAAATGTCTGTTGTATTTTTAGTTGCAAGTGAGAAATCATGGCCGTATGATTTCTCATTGTAAAGCTCATTAATTAAGCTGTGTTAATTGTAATCAATCTGCTAATTAATGTAAATGTGTGATGTGTTTTTACATTGTTTAAATTAAACGACCCACTGTTGTTGGTGAGTCAGAAATTTAAACACGTCTCTGTCCACATTTACTCCACAAAGCACGATATGACTTAGTCCAGAAAAATGAAAGAATCCGTTTAAATAAAGGATAATATCAGACGCATATTATCTCACTACAGCAGCTGGTTCTGGTTGTCAGCAGCAAACTGGTTGATCCACTCTGAGAAGGTGCTATTTAAGAGACTGAGCTGAAAACAGCACCTCAGACTGAGGAAGTCTCTCGGATAAGAGACGAAACGTTTTTACATTTTTTTTGTTTTGTTTTGTTTTTTGGTTTTATGAATGTCCAGAGGACCAGATTTAACTTTTTTGGAATATCCTAGAAACAATACAAATTTGTTTAACTGTCCATGAGGTAGTGCTCTGAAATATAAATGAAGTTCAGACAATTGTTGTTAAAACAAACAAAAAAAATCAGTAAAATCGGTTTCTCATGTAAGAATTGACCTATTTCCAATTTTCCAAAATTAAGGAAATCGGGGCCATGCATCCCTATTCAGGTTGCCTGTGACAGGACCTTCTCCACCCTGAAGTTGGTGAAGCACCGTCTAAGAACTTCCCTCAGTCAAGAGAACCTTGAAGCATTTCTTTTGGCAACAGAGAAAGAGGTTCTGATGGAAATGGACAAAGAGGATATTATTGATAGAATAGCTGAGAGTAGTGATCACCTGCGCCACCTGCTTGTGTACTGGTAGTAGTGGTGAAAACTGGTTCTTATAAAAAAAGGGGAAAGATCTGGTTGGCAGGCCACAGACTGATAAAGTCTTCCGGATAGAAGATGAAACGTTTCTCCCTTAAACAGACTGGTCCAGATAAAATGATTTGAACATTTTTGTGTTTCGTTTGAAGTTTTTTTTTTTTTTTTTTTTTTTTTTTTTTACAGATGTGAGTAAAAGTTTGTTCAAATTAAAAAATTGTTTAATGTGATTAAAAATAAACCAACACATCTGTAGTGCACCACATGTGTACCTCTCATTTGCTGTGTGAAACTATGATTGATTGTCATATTCCTAGTGAGTTTAAAAGAGCTTATGCATAGCAAAATGCAGGGCAACATAATTTCAGTTTATGTGATTTGAGGATGGATTATTACACCACAGCAGAAACATTTATATTGTAGGTATTCAGTTGATGACGTGTGCAGATGGCATGCATTCAAAGTGCGCTCAAATTGGTGGTTTGCGTTAATCGGGCGGTGGTGGCCTTGGATGGTATCAAATTCCCAGCCTGGATTATTTTCCCAGTCCGCTCCTGCATCTATAGCAGCATGGTCCTGTTAGCAATGAGGTTCTGTTGTTCTGTTAGCAGCATGATGAGAATAACGACTGCAGCAACACAGGATTACTGCCCTCTAGAACTGGATCCGGCAGACACAGAACATCCAAGATTTCCCTGTGGAACCGAACTGTTAAGAGTTGGGTCCATCCAGGCAGATGGAGGATCATGGAGACGGCTGCCATGACAGGCTGGAGCCTATGCCCGAGGTTGGAGGGGGCCCGGGAACTGAACCATGATGGCAAGGCAGCGACACACACAAAACTCCAAAAGTGCGTTGCAGTCATACCCGTAGCGTGGGTGTGCAGTGTAGATGCCAAAAAAGTTCAAACAAAAACAACAGGAACAAAAAAAGAGCGAGACGAACTGGAGCTCTCGTCAGTGCAGCCATACAGTGCACGTGACGTCAATCAGTGAGTACATCAAACGTCTGCTTCTGTCCATCTCTGCAGATCACCTACACTTTGCTGGTATTTAATGAAAAGAACAAATATCTTCTGTGCTCAAGTGTAAGACGATGAAAGGATCTTTTACATTTGTAAACTCATTGTACCTGCCAGGAAAAGTCTTCAAATGCTACAGTTCTGTGATGTTAATGTAGGTCGAGTAACAAGACTGAGCTGACAACACGTCCATCTAGAGACAGAACGTCATTATTTAACCAGGCAAACCCACTGAGATCACAGAGCACTGATGGAAGGGGGGCCTGGCTGTGGAGGCAGCCTAACATGCATGCTTTGGACCAAACTTGTGTCTGAGTGTTTACCTGGTGGAGGGGGGGGAGGTGAGCGAGCGTCGCCCCAGAGCCATCTGGTTAATGTTGTAGTAGCTGGGACTGCTGTCCAGTTCAGCCAATGAGAAGTTAGGCCCCGACGCTGTGGCTACAGGAGCTGAAACAACAAACACAAGAGAAGAAAAACAACCATAAAACGATCTTGTTCAGCATCAAAATTATCAAAGTTCTGGTGCAGTAAAGTTCCAATCAAGAAACTCCAAAATGCACACAAGATTGTAATCATTTAGTGGATGTCTTCTAACACGTGTTCTGATTTTTTTTTTACTTACTCTGTGACACCCGGACCAGCTCGGTCACATTCCACACACCTGAGGTGACGAAGCAGTCCTGAAAACTCAGGTGTCCTGCACAGAAAACACGTCCGTCAGGCTTACTCTGTTCACACAAACACAAATACACTAACAATTCATCACACACCTGTGTTTAACTGCCCTAAAAAATGGCGCCATGTGCAAATGTGCACAAGAACATCTGTGGCTAATTACAAGCATAATGTTGGAATGTGCTGATCTGACAGCGTCAACTCTGGACACCTACCATTAGGAGATGGTTTGATGTCTGCGTCTCCCTGTTGGCTAGAGCTGTCTGATTGTCCAGATTCTTCACGGCAACACACAGGGAAAGAAACAAAAGGTCACAACGTGGTTTTCAGATTTAATCACTTTGAAAAACATTCTGTGAAATAGAATCATAACTGAGTCAGTGACGCCAACAACGGTGAGATCTGAGGTGTGAAAGGGAATGAACCAGACCTGCAGCATGTGCTGAAGTATGCTATGCAGCATTTATATTTGTGACAATTCACACGTGTGTGTGTGTGTGTGTGTGAGAGAGAGAGACAGTCTTGTAGCTCAAAATGTTCTGCTTCCTTTGCACAGTCAAGGTGCAACGACTTACAGCGTGCTCGCTGCACTCGTATCTAAGCATGCATCATATCACTCACCCTAATCCTGCTTAATACTTTCCTGCTTGTAGGGATTTAGTCTACATAAACAGAGCACCTCACACACACACACACACACACACACACAGGTTTTTGCTTCATACTTTAAGACACGTTGTAATCCTCGTATGAACACACGGAACAAGTGAAAAGCTGATGATTTAAGTGCGGTTGCACAAGAAATCCAAGGCGGTGTGTGTTAGCGTAGCAAAGTTGTTTCTCTTGGGATGGCTCAGAGGAACGCACACACATTTGCACGAATGCAACAGTTGTTAACAAAAGTGTTGAAAATGTGCAACGTGTTGAAGGACAGTTGTGTGAAGTCTGGTATGAAGACTCCACAGAAAATCTGGCCTAAAGACTTGAATAATGCCGTGTGTGCGTTTTCAAGCTTATGGACATAACTTCCAGGCAGGAGGGTCGAGCTCACATCAGTTGTCGATCAGAAAGTGGGAGCGGTCTGTGCGTCCTGGTCTGCTCAGGTCCAGGGCTGCAGCCAGCTAAAGGAGGTGTTTATCTGCAGCTGTAGGTGATGAGCGTGCACGGAGCGCAGCCAGCAGCACTTGCCTTGCAGCCACGCTCAGCCACAGATTACTGAGCAGAAACATCAGAGCTGCTTCGCTGCTTATCCACACAGAGGGGCAAGAATGAAAGAAAGAGCTTCTCCTGCTCAAACGCTCCTCTGTGTGTGCGTCTCGCTGGCTGCTGGCTCTAATCCTGGCAGCCATCTTAGAGCTTGGCAGCCATCTTAGTATTGGCGGTAGTACAACATTCCAGCTAACTGACAGCACTCGCTCCAAACATACGTGGCTGTGCCCCCGCTGCGCACACACCCAGACACGCTCATAACATGGACAAACACCGAGCTACACACTCAGAGTAAACATACATGATGGCCAACCAAAGCTGTGGAGAAAACCACCTGACTTCAGTGGACTTTCTTCCCTCGTGCACCATTTCACTCTGGGATGCTAACGTACAATAAATAATAATAATAATAATAATAATCATTTTATTTAAAAAGCGCCTTTCATGACACCCAAGGACACTTGATACTCCATTTATACTCCAAATACTTAATAGAAATATTTAAATACTCCATTTCTCACGCCCACAAACATCCAGAATCCTAAAATATGAGGGTGTGCTTGAGAAACCTCTCATAGACTCTTGGGTAAGATGCACTGCATGATTTGCTGCCATAAAGACTTTAACAGGAAAAAAGTAGAACAGCTTCTCCTCAAAAAGGGTTAGCTTGAAGCTATTTCCATGCTGATGCTAACACTTTCTCTGCACATAGTTTTGATAAAAACAACTTTTCCTGCTGCCTGAACAGATGCTGGTGGATGTCCTTCTCATTTATATCACTTGTGGGTCTATATAACACTTGAAGCTGTTACTGGAACCAACGGCTGAACTAGCAGCCAATGAAAGGTGAAGGCAGATAGCTGAAGCACTCACTGTGTAGGATTGTTATCTAAAACTTTTACATTAACTGTTGGAGTCAACTCAGTCTATCCGTTACAAAAATATCTTACAAGCACACAAAAAATGTGAATGAAACTCAGAAAGTAAATAATCCACCTTTGACATTATCCAGTCAGATTTGTTTCACCTCAAACTTGTCCTAAACGCTGACAAAACCAAAGGGATGCTGTTTTCAAACAGGAAGTTGGTCCCAGCAGTTCTTCCTTCAATCTTATCCTCAAATGGTGTCCCCATTGAGTTTGTCAATTCCTACAAATATTTGGGTATCTTGGTTGATTCACATCTCTCTTTCAAGGACCGTGTCGAAAACTTAGTAAAGAAACTGGAAGTTAAACTGGTTTCTTTTTCAGAAACAGATCCTGTCTAACCCTGAATGTTAGAAAACGCCTTGTATCTGTGACTTTCCTTCCCTCCATTGATTACGGTGACATTATTTACAAGAACGCTCCTACAAGAACCCTGCAGATGTTGGATGCTGCAGATGTTGGATGCTGTCTATCATGGTGCACTAAGATTTATAACTAGCTGTAACTACCGTACCCACCACTGCACCCAGTATTCACTGGTTAACTGGTCACCATTAACTTCACGTAGACTCTCCCACTGGTAAGTTCATGGCAAAAACCAACGTAGATATATTCCTGCTTTTAGTATTTTATATCAATTTAAAATGTAGCTGTTTTTGTTTATTTTTTAATATCTTCTTTGATTTATTTTTCAATTTAAATTCTTTCTTTTAAGATTGTCCACTGTTGTCATCACTCTTTGTTAAATCAGGTCTCTCTTGTAAATGAGTCCTCGAGGCTCAATGAGACTCACCTGTAGAAATAAAGGTTGAATAAATGAAAAAAGTAATCATTGGATGTACTTGTTATTTTTTTCCATTCATTCAACCTTTATTTCTACAGGTGAGTCTCATTCACTTGTGGTTCCTAGAATTTACAAAAACAGAATGGGAGGAAGATCTTTCAGTTCTCAGGCTCCTCTCTTGTGGAACCAACTTCCAGTTTCTGTCCGTGAGGCTGACACATTATCCAGTTTTAAAACTAGACTTAAGACTTTCCTTTTTGATAAATCCTATAGTTAGGGTCGGCTTGGGTTTCTTGAGCTGTCCCTTAGTTCTGCTGCTATAGGCTTAGACTGCTGGAGGACAAACTGACCACAATTTTCACTCTGCTGCTGTTTTTACTTACTCTGCTCAACCTGTTTTCTATTTGTAATTATTTTTTCTATCCTTAACATGTGTTTTTTGTCTTTCAGGTACACCTGGACCTATATCTGGACCTGAACCTATATCTGGACCT